AGGCTGAGATTTGTAGGGGTTAAGTGTCAGCTCCCAGGCTTGTTATTAGCCACAATGCTGAAAAGGAAGAGACGGCAATGAAGCATGAAATTCCAGATATCTGATATAGCTCAGATCCTGTGTGCTCCGAGGACATGAGTACAACGTATAGAGGGGGACACAGCCGTACTGTATACCAACCACGTACTGTATGGGATAGGCAGTACAGGCAGCTGCACAGAGGTCCCCAATATTATATACAGAATAATCAGAGCAAACAACATTGACCTATAGGTGGGTCTACAGTATACAGAACAACCTGGGTACAGTACTGAGTATATAGGGGACCCTGTATATGCTGTGCTGAGCTCCTATCTATGTATAGACCTAATATTGTATTCCTACTGTACTGGGCTTTCTATAGTGTGTGTGTGTGTGTGTGTGTACATAGTGCAGAGCATATGGCCGAGCTCTGTGTACACTGCAGGACCACATTGGTTGGGCTCGGCTCCTGTCAGTCCGGGGTTGCAGTCCTGGGAATGGCTGTCGGTCCTGTAAATAGCTGCAAAGTAGTGTGTAGATGGAGGGAGCTGCATGTAAGTGTCGGCGGGGGTCACACTCCTGTCAGCTATTAGGCCTGAACCCCCCCCAGGGGGACTCCGGGACCCTCCACCCAGCTGACACCTGAACAGACATTTTTCTTCCCTCCCTGACACAAGTCTCAGCTTTGGGAACAGAAGGTGTCAGGAACTGGAGGTGATAAAACACAGAGACTTCTTTTTATAGCCGGAGCTCCAAAACTGACACAGCGACCCTTCATATGTATATAAATCTGGCGTCCAGGAACACGTGGAAGAAGGAAAGTGTCTCTGTAGCCGAAGGTTTAGTTTCTGGAATGTGGAAGTGTTAGACGGCCGCTGATTGAAGTGCCAAACCACAAGTTAGTAATCCAGATACAGATATATTCCAATATAAAATCAGCTGGAAAACGTTACAAGAAATGCAACGCGTTTCGGGGGGCCAACAGTCTCCACCTTCATCAAGGCTTAAAGGAGAACTATGGGGCTTTTCCCCATAGTTCTCCTTAGGGTAACGGGAGGACACAAACTAGCGTCTTCCCGTCACCCTAGGCTCAGTATATAGGGAGCTACAGCTCGCGGTATACTGAGACGCCGGAGCGGATCCCGACATCGGCAGAGCCAGCTGTACCCGCCCCCTCCCCCGTCCGTTCCGCCAGTCAGCGCTGGCGGATCGGAGCGGGGAGAGGGGAATCCAGCCCCTCCCCTGTCACGGCAGAGAGCCGTGACAGGATGGAGAGGTGAGCGAACGCCGGTATGTGTTCGCTCACCTCCCCATTTATGAGATCTCAGAACTATGAGGTGAGTGAAAAGCCCCCCTCCCCCCCCCCCCTCATAGTTCCCCTTTAAGGATAAAGGAAACAATGTATACAAACTGTATTGAGGATACAATGTATATAATATATTATCCAACTTTTTCTTGAGCCCTGGTGAAGTGGGAGAGTTTTGGGCCCGAAACGAGTTGGATTTCCAACATTTTGATACATTTGTATCTGGACTTTTAACTCGTGGCGTGGCGCTTTACTCTCAGATCCAATTAAAAGCTGCCAGAGGTTCGAGTATTTCCGCTACTTTACATTTCTACTTCTGTCTGTGTTGCTGTTGTAGAGTTTCCTTCACTTCCTGTCTGGTTAAAAGGTTGTCCCGTGGACAGGAAGTGAGGCGGAAATCGCAATGAAACCTGTCCGGGCCTCCCATTATCTCACATTCTGTCTGGAACTATTGTCTGGGGATAAACTCTGATCTGATTGGCCAGTTTTCTCTCTCATCTTCTAATGGAATTGGATTGAACCTGAAGAAGAAATTCTGCTCCCATGATGCATTAGAACCCGCCTCTCCTTTTCAGCTCTGAGCTGTCAATCATTGTGCTGTAGAGGAAGGGGCGGGCCCAGACACATAACCCTCCAGTGTCTCTCCCCCTATGATTTGCTCTCCCGTTGAAGGAAGTGCGGTGATGATTGTTTATATTGATTTCAGCAGCTGTTTATTTGCAGACAATGGCCGGCCCGTCAATCAGACCCGCAATCATCATTAATGAAAATTTCCTCCCAGAGCAATCTGCGTGTCAATCGGCCGCGCCGGTCACTGTGATCATAGGAAGCCAACTGTTTGGGTTATTTTTAGGACAGGGAGCCTGTCGCATGCCCAGCTTTAACCCTCATTATAGAGACCTGCGGCGGATGGAGCTGGCGAGTGAGAATCTAGGGGTGCAGAACCCTCATTATAGAGACCTGCCGCGAATGAAGCAGGCGAGCGAGAATGTAGGGGTGCAGAACCCTCATTATGGAACCCTGCGGCAGATGATGTGGGCGAGCGACTATCTGGGGTGCAGAACCCTCATTATAGAGCCCTGCGGCGGATGAAGCGGGCGAGGGAGAATCTTGGGGTGCAGAACCCTCATTATAGAGACCTGTGGCGGATGGAGCGGGCGAGGGAGAATCTTGGGGTGCAGAACCCTCATTATAGAGACCTGCGATGGATGGAGCGGGTGAGCGAGAGAGAATCTAGGGGTGCAGAACCTTCATTATAGAGACCTGCGGTGGATGGAGCGGGTGAGCGAGAGAGAATCTTGGGGTGCAGAACCCTCATTATAGAGACCTGTGACGGATAGAGCGGGCAAGTGAGAATCTTGGGGTGCAGAACTCTCATTAGAGCCCTGGGGTGGATGCAGCGGGCGAGAATCTTGGGGTGCAGAACCCCCATTATAGAGACCTGTGGTGGATGGAGCGGGCGAGCGAGAATCTTGGGGTGCAGAACCCTCATTATGGAGACATGCAGCGGATTGAGCGGGCGAGGGGGAATCTTGGGGTGCAGAACCCTCATTATAGAGACCTGTGGTGGATGGAGCAGGCGAGCGAGAATCTTGGGGTGCAGAACCCTCATTATGGAGACATGCGGCAGATTGAGCGAGCGAGAATCTTGGGGTGCAGAACCCTCATTATAGAGCCCTGCGACCCATGGAGTAGGAGAGTTAGAATCTTGGGGTGCAGAACCCTCATTAGAGCCCTGCGGTGGATGCAGCGAGTCATAGTCTAGGGGTGCAGAACCCTCATTATAGAGACCTGCGGCGGATTGAGCGGGCGAGCGGGAAC